TTCTCTACACCAAGGGTGTATTACACTTGCTCAGCATTGAATGATATGGAAAGAATGGCCTTTCTCTACTGCATAACTGACTTTACTTTTGTTCACAGGTTAAAATCAGCCCTTCCATTTCACTGCAGTATTATATTGGTGGCATTTTTATTTAAGAAGAAAAAAAGCTTTCTTCCATATGAACTTTTGTTACAAATCAGTTTATTGGGGCCAGTCAATGGGCAGGACCTATGAAAGGGTGTGGATTATCTGGTTAGGCCTTTGTGTGGCAAAAGGCTTAGATGCTGCTTAGTACTTGGCTCATTCTTCTCGTGTAAAGAAGTGTTTTTTTGAAGGATCAACACCTGACTGAGCCCTGCCTTTTTCATGGTAATGTTTTCACCTGAGTTGCTTCTTATGGCACTAAGAATTAGTTAACTAATACTTATTTAACCTTGGAACAATGTTTATCATAATCCGATTGGCAGATAGTCATTTTATTTAGGCCTTTTCTTTATTGCATCAGAACCAACAAATCTCAGTGAAGAGTATGCTGGGAATAATTTGTTTTTCCGAATGTTACCTCTCTGCTGTTTTTTCTCTCCATCAAGGGGCATGTTTCGGCTCTGTAGACTTAAGACTAGTAGCTACACACTAGCAAATTGAATTTACCCTCTTGGGTTGAGCTCTACTTTTATTTTTAAAGCTGGCCTTCCTGTTTTATGCTGCTGTCAGCTTTTCCTCCCAGATGTTCTCCAATATGATTTATTATATTAATACATTCAGAGCTGCTTTTTCATGATAAAGCTCCCTCATGAGCATTACTCCACTAATTAATATACAAAATGACCCAGCACAATTTAATTATTTCGTAATTTTTTTTTGGTGTTTTCGTAAAGATGATGCTTTACAAGCCAAGGCCTAGACTTGCCTGGGTCATGACCTCTCTGCAGTGTTTGCAGTCTTGTTAAACAAGAAGAAAAGCAAAACATAAATTAGCATCTCTATTAGACGTTGCTCTACATTTCCCAGTCTTTCAACACCCTGAAGAGCAGAGTCACTGTTAGCACAAGAGAAAGGTTCACAGGGAAAATGGCAGTCCCATCTTTCTGGAATGAGCAAGAAGCTTCTTCCTCAGTGCCATTCTGCTAGGGCCAACGTTGTCCTCCATGAGAGAGGAGCGAGGTGAGGGAGTTTGAATTATGGGCTATGGAACATTAAAAACCTAAGGAAAAAAGGGAAGTACCACCTAACCTGTAAATGTAATGAGGATGTTCTACCTGTGTGGCTTTGGCATCTGCTATCCTTCAGGAGTATGTTTCTAAGTTTACCACTAGAATTTAGTGTTGGAAAACACCTGGAGTGGAGTGTAAAAGCACCACTTTTCTGTTACAGTAGACGTTGACAAGTCTTTGTGTCCACAGTTACCCGAATACCCTAGTTTTTGTTTTTGTTATTTTGCCTGTGAACTTACATATTTCTGCTCTTTCTGACTTGGAATGTCCTTCCCCTCCATCGTCCTCATCAACCTACCGCCATTCCTTAAGACTCAGCTCAGGAATTACTTCCTACAAAGAGAAGACGTTTCTCTGTTTCATGTTTCTTCCCTCTACCATGACATCCTGTGATAACATCTCTACCTTTTTATACTTTATTGTAATGATCTCCTTTGTATCTGTCCATAGATACAAGATCTAGTCCATATTCATCTAGAAGCTTAATAAAGCTCTGCTGATAATGCATTTGATTTGCAGCTACTGGATTTCTTTACTAATTATAATGATTACCCTCCCATCTGTATACATCTATCCCATAGTCTTTGCACAGCAGCTGATATGCAATCACTAATTCTGCCAGGTCTCAACTTTGTTTCTTTGACATGCCTTTGTCTATGTTGGTGCATTATCCATTCTTGGCCCAGTAGATGGACAAAAACAATGAGTAAGACTGAGATAGGCTACCATACCTTATTGACAATAGTAGTGTAGTGTTTACAAAACCCAAATTGGAATTGTTTTGGCATCTGTTCATAAATTTCTTTAAATCTTTCCCTACATTTATCTTAATTCCCACATAATAATTTATTTATTTTCATATTTATGTTAACATTCTGAATTTCTAAGATCTGTGAATAGGTTTAATGATTGTGTTAAAGGCTTATCCGTGGAATGAGTATGTATAAATAGAGTGACATACAATTAAAATTTATTCCTCTTCCATTTTCCAAGTAAATTTTTTTTTAAATGTGTTTTTCTTCATGAAAAAAGACAGCATACAACTTTGAGTTCTGGATCTAGTTTCCATTCCTGGCTCTGTCTTTTATTAGTTATTTGACCTTGAACAAATTACATGTTTCTGTGAGACTCAATAGCTTCATCAGTAAAATAGAAATAATGCTAATACTTAATTCTCGGGATTATAATGAACATTAAATGAGAAATTGCTCTGAAGAGGGACCATACTGCAAATAGGAGTAAATGAATGTCTCCGTAATGAACAGTGAGATACTCAGACCCTTTCGCCCATCTACTTCTAGTATGCTGGAAACTTGGCTTCAGAGCCCTCAGGAAGGAGATTGAAAGAGTCTTCTCCAGTAAAAAATTTATACATCCTGACCTTTGAGGGACTAATCAGCGAAGTCTTAGCTGGTCATCCTCATCCTGTAGTGAAGCCCACAAACTCAGAGGTCCCAGTTACTTGTTTCTTAATTGTGATTAGTCATCAAATAATGACCACACTCTTGAGGAAAGCCTCCAGTGAATAAATAGTAAAAAACAAACTCAGGAAACAGAGACAGAACAGAGAATAGAAGAAAACATTTTTAAAATCTGTAGTATTCACAGACATCTAAAATTACATATTGTATCCATGAAATATAATAAGATGTAATAAAAAAAAGAGCCAAGAAACAAGAAATAGCGTTTAGAAATAAAAAATATTATAGAAAAAAATTAATATAAAGTTGAAAGAAAAAGTTGATGCTAACCTAAAAATTATTAGAGAAAAAAATAAAAACTAAGAGCAAAAAAAGAAAAGAAAATTAGAAGATTAGTATTAGACCAGTATCCAACTAATGGAAGTTCTGGGGCAGGGGTGGGGTGGGGAAACACAGGGGAAATAAAATGAACAGAAGGAAATCTCAAAGAAATTTCCTAGGACTGAATGATTGGAGTTGCCAGTTTAGAAAGGACCCATCTAATGCCAACAAAATGAGTAAAGAAAGACTTACCTCAGGGTACATAATTTTGAAATTACAGAACATAGGGGTAAAGAAAAGATTCCTTTAAAATTATATTTTTTAGCCCAGCCGGGCGTGGCTCAGCGGTTGAGCGTTGACCTAGGATCCAGGCGATCAGGGTTCGATTCCCAGCCAGGGCACATGCCCGGGTTGCGGGCTGCAGCCGGTCAATGACTCTCTCATCATTGATGTTTCTATATCTCTCTCCCTCTCCTTTCCTCTCTCTGAAATCAATAAAGATATATTTAAAATTATATTTTTTTAAAAACAAGTTAGAACCAAAGAGTGAAGAAATGAGAATGGCATCAGTCTTCCAGCCAGCAACACTGAAAATTAAAAGACAGTGGAGCAGTGCCTTCAAAATTCTGAGGCAAAAATTATTCCCAACCTTGTTCTCTATACCTAGCCAAACTATCAAGTATGAAGAGTATGTACAATATTAAGGGTAGAATGAGGCATTTCTAGACATTCAAGGAAATGCTTAAATTTTTGCTTCTCATATACCGGACTTTCTCAGGAAGTTTTGACATATATGTACCACAGGAAAGAGAATAAATGAAGAAAAAGGAAAGCTGGGAAACAGGAAAGCTAGGAAAGGAGGGCCATAGTGGGGCGGGGGGGTCTCCAACCGAAGCTGTGGTGCAGGCCTAGAGAGTGGTCAGTTCACACTGAGCTCTGAGAACAGGAAGCTTCAGGAGGGGGATGTCTTTAAAAAAAACAAAAATGAACTTCCTAACGTGTTTGAATGTATTGGTTGGTCAATTTGGAGATGAACTTGGGATGGTGTATGTACCTGGTAAACTAAGCAAAGGGGCAAATGGCAATTATTAACTCTAATAGAAAAATAAAAAGAAAATGTTGCTCAAGAAAGGGAATTAATAGTATACTACATGGCTTAGCTGTAAATCACATTTATATAATCATAATAAATACTGAATATAGATTTAACCAAAGACTGTAAAATAACTATATTGGAAGGATGAGGAAGGGATATTGGGGGTGGGGGTGGGGAATAAGTGCAAAATTAATCTTAAATAACCATCTTCCATAATAGTAAGCCAGTAAATAATATATAAAGTTGAAAATAAAATTCTTAAAATAGTAGTATCACCTTATTTAAAGATAAGGAAGAGAGTACGAGAAAAAAAGCTAAGAGAATTGAAAATGGTTGCCTCTTGCTACAGGTAATCAGGATTGGTGGCAAAAGCCTGCTATAGTTTTTAATTTTTTTTTTTTTTTTTTTGTATATTTTGGGGTTGGAAATAAAAATGAAATTTAAAAATATTAAATGAGGCAATTATGTAAAGCACTTAGTACCATGCCTTTCACAGTTATGTGTTACATAACATGTAAAATATTATTACCCTGCTCTTTTAAAAATCACAATAAAGCTTTGCTAAGTGGGTGATATGGACTTTTCAGTCATTCATTTTTTTCCTCCAGTTCCCACTATCCATGTACCATGTTGGCTGTGAAAAATGAATTACAAACATGTACTGAAGTGTCCTGGCTTGTAGTCTCCCCGATTTCCTAAGCTGTTACTCTGTTGATGTGAATGAGAAGAAAGGGTGGTTGCCTCTTTCTGAGTCATATTCTGAAGAAAATGCTGCTCTTTCTGAATCACATTGTTGATCTTCTTTTAATTTCAAGAGGAAAATTCTGATATTTTTTATTGCCTAATCATTTGCATTTCTGCAATTAAGTGGATATTGTTCAGGGTTACACTAGTTTTTCTAATCAGTTTTATCCTGTGCATTTTAACATGTTTTCTCTCTGTGATCAGGGCCGCAAGCTTCTTATCATTGGGACCACTAGCCGCAAAGATGTCCTTCAGGAGATGGAAATGCTTACCGCTTTCAGCACCACCATCCATGTGCCCAACATTGCCACAGGAGAGCAGCTCCTGGAAGCTTTGGAGGTGAAAATGAGCCAATGGATTGTTCACTGTTTATAAGAAAGGAGTTGAGGCTGGAAATAATGCTCAGGGGTGCCAGACATCACACCTAGTGTTTAGTTTCTATGTTAACCTAGAATATGGGACTTGGGCTATGCCTTCAGTTTTTCAGGAATTAGAGGAAGGAGAGATGAATATAAATGAGAGTGAATTTCCCACTTCTCGGTGTAGGCAGCACAGAGACTGCCAGGAATGAGTGACTCTATGCCCAGCGTGAGTGATGCATATAGATTACGTGGGCCAGAAATGTGGGGTGAGGGTAGGTGAGGTAAAGTAATCAATATAGAAAAATCAGTTATCTGTAGTAGCTTTCAGCCCATTTACCTGTATTTATCTAATAAATTGGAACAATGATTAAAACTTTAGGAACTTCAAATAAGCTACAGAAGTAAACAGAACTGCTTCATGAACAAGTTCATAATACGGAAATATTTTCTTCAGTATTTTTGAGGATGACAAAGTTTTTAATTTAAAAAAAAAAATCCATTAAACTTTTGATTGATATCAGTGCATACAAGTGACTTGATGAGTTCTGTTAGAAAATATTATCTAGTGAGTTATTTAACAGTGGTGAAGGCTCCTTAAAATCCTCAAGACCCATAAACTTGGGGCATACTCCCAACAAAATAGAAATTATTTATATGATAAATGTCTCTAGGTTGCCTACTTGAACAGCTTTTGTGCTGGAGTTGGGTAAGAGAATTAAATTTAGTCTGCTTTGACACATACAGATTTGTTCCTAGAAAGGAATGTTAAAAATTTTACCTGATATTTATTAATGGTGGAGCTGTTTTTCCCCCAGCAAATATACCTCTAAATTATCATGGAGGCCTATAGGAAAACAGGATTTAGGGTTCCAATTTTCAGTTTCATAGTTACACCTAATGGGTTTAGGAAGGTCAGGTTAGGTTTTTAAATAGGAGTGAGTCCTGTCTACTTGAACCAGTCAGCTGGTCCTTATCATTGTTCTTTTAAGCATAAGTGTGAGAATTAACTAATGTTGTCGACTCACTATAACAGTGCTTTCATTTCTTTATTGTTTTTGTAGCTTTTGGGCAACTTCAAGGATAAGGAACGTACCACAATTGCACAGCAAGTCAAAGAGAAGAAGGTCTGGATAGGAATCAAGAAGCTACTAATGTTGATCGAGATGTCCCTACAGGTAAGCTGCTTCCTTCTCCATATGATTCAGACATAAAAGATTCATGATATGCCCAGAGATTTTATATTTCTTTTTGCTAAAGTGTTAATTTGTTATAATTCTCTTCTATGATTTCTGAACTCAAGTTGATATTAGTAGCCTGAGATCAAACAATAGTTTATTGGTACTTTCCCACATCTTAAAATTGTTTATAAAGTTATTTTAAGTTTTAATTTGGGGAGTTACTAGATTGTAGAACGAGAAAGGACTTCAAAGAGCAATTGTTCTGCTGCCCCTCATTTTAGAGATGAGGGTACTGAGTGTCCCACAGGTTGTCAGTGAGTTATCCAAGGTCACAGCCAATTGGTAGAGAGGGGATGATGTTGTCTATCAGAGGTCAGGAAGCTACCACACATACAACAAAAGGAGCCTGGGAGACTGTTTTAATGGACAGAATAATTGATTTGTGCAGATTAGACATTACACAGTAATTGATCTGTGTATTTTCCCTGGCCTGGGCTCCTAGAAATGTCATGGGAACTGCTGTGGTTAAGCACCCGTAGGAAACTGAGCCCGAGGCTGTTGCCTGGGCAAAAGCAGATGAAACTTCTTCTGGACTTTGTCGCATCTACTGGCAACTTACGTTTCCTCTTTTTGGAACTCCACCCCTCCATGTACCCATCCTGTGTCTTATGCTTATCTAATTAGATAATAAATGTATCCTTACCAAGTTCTGTGAGTTCCAGGACCTTCGCTGTCACTCACTATTGAATCCACAGTCCCTGGAACAGAGCCAGACACGTAGTAGTTGGGCTCAGTAGACTTTTGTTGAGTGAACCTCTCCCAGTTCCTAGGCTACATTCTATATGTATTTGCTGCTCAGTCCTGCCACTTAATCAGTGTGTAAGCAGTGGGTGGCAGAGGTGAAGTTTCAGTTACTTGGAAACACCAAGTGAATGCTTTTTAATCTTTTCTGGTAAGTTTATTTTAAAATAAAGTTGTGGTTTTCAGAAACCTAAAGTTTAATCTGTTGAACTTTCAGCTGGACTGTTTTTAAGCCAATTTATTTATTTCCCATTTTAAGCAGTAAGTTAAAGTTACAGACTAATCACTTTGCTTAGGATTTTTCTTGGTAAAAGTGCATATACAGATGTATTGGCTCTTTCCTTGGAAAAAGATAAACCTGTCAGATAGTCAGCTCAACTCTTTATTTTTTTAGTTTCAGCACAATTTTTTTTCAATAATTGCATAGAAGAAGCTATGTGGGTTTTTCTCCCCAACCCCAACCCCTACCCCTTCCTCTTGCTTTCATGCCTGCAGGTCAGTGATCAAGTTAATGCCTCTTGTGTATGTGGGGTAGAAATTGAGAGTGGGGCACTCAGGCCTAATCTTCAGCGACTGACACTTCATAGGCCTCTGAGTTTGAACCCCTTCATGTCAAATGGATTTCGTGCAGCTGAGTGAGTTCTCTTTAGATCTGCCTTAGAGAGACTGAGCCTAAGTGAAGAGGCACGTAGTCTAGCAGAATATAAGTCATGTTACCTCTCTGTTCACTATACACAATTCTGTTAAAACTTGCACAGTGCCGAGGATCTGCTCTGACTGGATGTCACCTGAGGGAATAAAGTCATTTATCTAGATTACTTTTTTCCTCCCTTTCTCTTGACTTTTAATTCCATAGCTACAGGCAAGTCAGTAAGTCGTTGCTCACACATATTAAATATATTTAATGGGCAAAGACCTGCAAGTACTGACTACAGCTGAGCTCCAGCCAGTTCCATTTTTTTAAAGTAGTTGACAATTGATTCATATGTAATTCTATTCCCAAAGAAGAAAAATGTTTCTTTTGTTAGCTATTCACACTTTTTCTTAGTCCTTTGTAGTCTGACCTCTTAACTTTGATACATTTAAAACTTCTGTGCAATGTTTTTCTGGGATAGAAGAGATCTTTAAAAAAAAAAAAAAGTAGTTAGAGGGGGAATGCAGTTGCACATTTACCCACAGCTGCACACTGAGCGTTTGAAAGCTGTTCCTGGAGGGCAGGGAGTTCCCTCTTGGGAAACAGACTCCTGGCCTGGAACATTTTTTAAAAGTTAGGTGTGTTTCTTACAATAAAAATCATCTTAAGGAATTAAAGACGTTTTAATGACCATTTTTTAGATAACTTCACATATCTGGTGGACCAATGAAAATAGAATATAGTTAAACAAATTAGTATAAATAGGAATATAAAATGAAAAGTAATAATAATAATGACCTGAACCTAGAACCTGTACCAAAACTCCTCCATCTTTTCTTAGACTCATGACACCGTCCCCATCACAGGAGACTCCGATTATCTAGGGATCGTGTCAGAGGAATCAGCCCCCCCATTCATTTTTTTAGTTTTAGCACAATTTTTTTTTTAATTAATTGCAAAGAAGAAACTATGGAAGGGAGACCAAAGCTAAGAAAAGCTAAATTATTGATCATAAAGAATTAATAAGCTATTTTTTAGTTGTTTAATCAACATCAATTGGTTTCTTCAAGTTTGGTCTCACTTTTATGCTTTAGATGAGTCCTGTGAATTGGATGCCATTTGAGCCCCCATGAATGGCCACTGTCTGGTCTCACACTAGTCCCCTCAGGCATGCTCCCTTCTCACACAGCTGAGGTGCCTGTGAGTGACCAGCTGGGTCATTTAGAACCTCGAATATAGTAATTCTCTGTGCTAGGAAATCCCATTCACTTCTCTTGAATGACTCAATCTGCTTTCCTGTGTATCAGAATACTGGTCAAGGAACAGGTAACACATTTCTGTGACTCAGCAGAGCACTGGTGAAAGTATGAAGTTTAGTATTTCCTTGGCATGAATTAACCTCCCATCTTTATTTATTCTGATGTATTTAGATGGATCCTGAATACCGTGTGAGAAAATTCTTGGCTCTCTTACGAGAAGAAGGAGCGTAAGTATGTATATACAATACTTAAGACTATCAACCAGACTTACCACTCTTAAATCCCAGGGCCTATTCTGCGAGTTGCTCTACAGTGCATATGTATTTCAGATCTCAACCGTTCTTGGACAGCTTTGTTTCCATTTATAGAATTCTTCACTGTGTTGTAGGTCTGAGAGACCAAGCAAGAAAATTGGTTGTACTGTTGGTTTGCTCTCCCTGTCCTGCTTCACAAAACTTCCTTGTCACAATGCAGGAAAAAACTCAATGGTACATATTTGTTGGAACCTACTTTTAAATGCATAGAACTGTGACCATTTTCTTTTATGACATGCTTATCTAATAGCAAGTGCATAGTGAAACTTTAGAAAAGCCTTTAAGAAGCTCTTAGTGATTTTGTGATGAATGGCTTTTTGCAGACCCTCATCTGTTCTTTGTGTTTGGGGTATTTCTTTTTCAGTAGCTCCCTTGACTTTGAAAATGGACTGTTTGCAAACACATAGTGACCAAGGGAAGTGACCAAGGTAAAGATGGCCTGGGATCTTCACTGGATTTACTCAAGACCCTAAATGAAGTGAACTGTTCCCTGTCTTCTACACATGCTCACTCTGCATGATTGGTGCAATAAAACTCCCTTCCTTGTACTTACCGAGATAGTCCACTATTTTATGGAAGGTACAAACTTGCTTTTAGAATGCTTTGCTTACCTTTCCGTGCAAGCTAAGCTGATTCCTTCTTTCTCAGTCTTAAGTGTGGGAGATATACTGTACTCATGAACACTATTTATTTTAAGACTATCAACCAGACTTATCACTCTTTTAAATCCCAGGGCCTATTCTACAAGTTGCTCTACAGTGCATATATATTTCAGATCTCAACTGTTCTTGGACAACTTTGTTTCCATTTATAGAATTCTTCACTGTGTTGTAGGATGATTCCTTCTTCCTCAGTCTTAAGTGTGGGAGATATATGGTACTTGTGAACACTATACATTTTAAGACTATCAACCAGACTTACCACTCTTTTAAATCCCAGGGCCTATTCTACGAGTAAATCTCCACCACCCAAAAACTCTCAACAGATATAATGATGTTGCAAGGCAACACTTGGCCTATTAGAAGGACTTTCTACAAGTAAACCAGGAACAGGGAGGGCTCACAGGGGTTATCTTACTACTTCCCTGTGCTTACACTAGAGGTAATTGAGCATTTGGTTCAAGTTCTCCCAGAAAGCTGGTTGTTACCTTTGCCTGAAGAAACAGGGCTTTGGATTTCTAAGATGCTGTTCTCAATCATTTTCAGAGATGTTTCCAAGCTGCAACCAGGAGATCTTTCCTAATAGAAAGTCACAGTATTACTGTGTTGGTGATGACATTCCCTTACTATAACTAATGTCCTCTGTGGTAAGAGATATGCTAATCCTTACCAACTGGTAGCTGTTGTTAAAAACTTGTGAAAGATGCATGGGAAAAGCCTACACCCCTAAAAAGAAAGGAGTCATTAAAATAAAGTAATATACAAACCTCTCAGCACTAATTAGTGTCCATCTCTAAATGGGTCAGTTCCTTAATATGATATTAAAGACTTATTAGCATCACCCCTTTATCTTTTTCCCTTAGCTTAATGACTTACTTAGAATGTAGCCTTCCTTTATTTTAAATTATTTTGTCACTTTCTAGCTTTCCCCCCTCAGTCCTTTAACATCCATTCCACTACATTTAACACATTTCCTTTACCCTCTACACACTTCTTCCAAAGGGTTTGTCTTATAACTGAGTGAGGAGGAATTTAAATCGGTCATCATATATGGTGATGAGACCTATAGAGCATGCCCCTCTCTCCCCATTGCTGCTTAAAATGTGAGGACAAACCATTGGAAGCCATACGCAACTGCTTGTGAGGCTCGTTGCCACAGTGGCACTTGGATGTAGCTCTGTCATCTGTCCCCGTGGTAGAAGGCAAATTATCTCCAGATCTTGCTATCTGCATATTTTTGGTAGACTTGTATGTCATGTTCACTTTGTTTCAGCTTTTCATCCCTAGCTTATTTTGTGGCTTTTCAAAAAGTGGATTTGTATTGCAAAATTCTGTGATTCCTGGTGGCCAGTATCCTGGATTCCTGTATCTGTTTTAGACCTTTCTTGCTCTTTTCTCTTCCCATGAAAGCAACACGCATTGTACTAACTTATGTCTCTTATTCAATGAGGTTAATGTCTTTGTGTTTTGTCCAAAACTATATTGAGAAATATAAATATTATATTGTTTAATGCAAATGAAGGAATGCAATAAAGAGTATATATACTTGAAAACATTCTGTAGACCGGTATTTTATACAAAGCAATATATGTAACTGATATGAATGTATGAAGAAGAGGGGGCTCAGAAAAGACCCTCTGGGTGTTTTGTTATAACTGTCATAGGAGATGGGTGATTTTTATTTAAAAATCTCTGATTTTGGCCCTGGCTGGGGAGCTGTTGGTTAGAGCATCATCCCGATACAGCATGGTTGGGGTCAGGGCACATAAAAGAATCAACCAATGAATGCATAACTAAGGGGAACAACAAATTGATATTTCTCCCTCTCTTTCCCCTTCCCCTTGCTCTCTCTCTAAGAAGAAAGAAATCTCTGACTTTAATTATTTTAAAAGTTTAGTTATTTAAAAAGAAAAACAGATCAGTAGCTTTTTTTTAAAAGCTAATGCACAAGAATATACTTATATTACTTATTTCACCTTATTAAAAAACTGAAGTGTACCAAAGTCATAATTGGGTTAAACCAGAAAGGAAAATTGTTTCTCAGGTAGAATTACTCCTTCCTATGAAATGCACAAAGCAAGGGGCTCAGACACTCAGTGAGATTTCTTCATGTGGTTCATTTTGGTGTCCTTCATCTTTTTTGCATGTTTCTGAGCTCTTAGATCTCTTAGCCTAAATGAACCCTGGCCCTTAGAGTTGGCTCAGCTTAGGACTACAGGCAGCCTGGAAGTCAGCAAGGGTCTGTGGGAAGAGGCCAGCGTCAGAGCTTCTCTGATAGCGGGCTGGCTCCCCAGGAGCTGTCCACACCCTCCTGGGAGGAGGGCCCAGAGACCACACTGGTGCCTGGGTAGCCTTGAAAAGGTGGAGTCCTGAAGCTCTTAGTCCTCCCCAAAGGCGATGCTGGGCAGAGAGCGCATGAGATCATTGCCCGGCCCGCTGATGAAGCGAAGGAGACTCCAGCCAGCTGCTGCCTTACTTTTCTTCATCTACAGGTGAATGGTTAACGCTATTTTGTCAGAAGATGTAATTAAAGCCTCAAAAAAAAGAAGTTATTTTATCCTTCTAAATTTGTACATCTTCACTGAAACACTTTTTTAAATGTAACATAGAAAACTGTATAATGTAGTTAAAATATGAAATATGTTTTGCGTTAAGGCTGTTTTTTCATATCCTAAAAATTACAGTGAACAGCCCCCCCTTGAAGCTTCAGCAGCATGCCATGGAGTAGGTTCAAGTGTGTATAATAACCAAATCTCGGTAAACAGACCTGTGCAAGCACTGAGTCAGCTACAAATAGCCAGCCCAGCCCACACACAGAAGGCAAGAGCAAGATCTCATCTTCCCTTGCCTGGCAACTTGATCCATAAGCTTTTTCAAAGAAGTGACAGGGAAAGGTGTGTAAGAGAGTTCAAAAAAGCATGTAAATTTCAGAAGTTATTGCAAAATGATCTAAGGTTTCTCATCAGCTAGCAAGCAGTGCCAAGACTGGGGCCTGCGCCCATGGGGGGGGCGGTATGTGTGGACACCACAGCATTGAGATGCAGGAGATAGTGCTGCGATCGGCAAAATTCCCAAGTAGTGAAGACAGGATTTGCAAGGAGAACTCAGGTTTGAAATTTTCCCAGTATACAGTCTCCACAGCTACCTTTGTCGCACTATTTTGGGAGTTTAAGACTAATGGTTAGATAATTTTTTGCTTCCTAGAAAGTTCTCTGTTAAGCTAGGAGAAATGATGACAGTCTGGTGGCCATCGTTTTGCTGAAATAACTTCACTTTGTGTGTTGTGTGGTGTGGTGTGGTGTGGTGTGTGTGTGTGTGTGTGTGTGTGTGTGTGTGTGTACCATGCATGTACTTATCCATAGACCCAAGGTGCCCAGATATACCCCTGGATCATTGGATACTGTCACTGGGCACACCTAGAATAACCTCACCATCCATCACCTCCCCCTTGCTTTTCTCTGACTGTTCCTTACCCTTCTCTTTTGCCTTCATTTGTACCTCCTTCCCTCATCCTTGAACACTCTACCCCCTCCTTTCTTTGTAAAATAATACTGCTTTGAAAGATATCGTCTCATTATATTGTCTTTTTTCTTTCTTTTGGATCTTTTTTTAAAACTTCCTCGTGTTTTTAGATGTTTATTAGTACTTATGCTTACTGAGAAGCTAAATGTTCAAGCGCTGCTATAAACTGTATTCTCTTTAATCATAGAATATGATTAATCAGAGAGGATTACAAATGGCCGTGGTAAGTATGAGTAGAGACCATTTAAATATTTGGCAATCTTAAAAGTACCCAGAACGCTGGGGCAGACGAGTATCAACCTTACATAAAAGCTAAATAAAAGATCAGCAACGCTGTAGGACACGGAGGAGATCCACATACATTCCGTGCCCGTGTCCTCGCACAGCTGAAACCATTTTTGTGAGTTAGGCTTTTCAGGGATGAATCTTTAGGAGTCATCCCTAATCTAAGGTTGGAGGTCTGATGGAGCGCTGGCAGCCCATCTCCACTGCACAAGGCAGATGGCTTTACTTCCCTGTTACTTTTTTTCTGTGAAATGAGATGAGTAAGATTTGTTCCTAATACAGGTAAATCAGGAGAAAGAAAAAGATTTTTACTGTGCCAAAGAAACTGAAGATGACACTTTATGGGTAGGTTTGAAGACACTGTATGTCTGTCACCATTAAACCAAGTTACAGCATCTCATTGTTGAGAAGGTGTTATTTGTGGACCTCAGGTGAGTCCTTTTGAAATTGCAGTCCAAGGAGAGAATGCCTTTCCCTAGAGCATGCCCACTGGTGGGTCCTTTGTGCCCAGAGCAGTCTAAAACTTCAAATGACACTTATTCCAGGTAACCCAGAGCTCAGGGGACACCATTTCTCCTTTCTGACCAACCTACCCCTTCTGTAGCTCAGCTCTCAAGCAGAGCTAGCAGGGCAGCACCATTTCCAGTCAAATTTCATTCTCAGTAGAACAAATCCTATGTTCCCAATAAGTGGAGTTGAAAACATGGGTGAGGAAGGGATTGAGTCAGTGGCCAACATCGTGGTCTCCTGGCCTTGAGCCACATCTTTGAGTGTCTATGACATTAATTTGTGCATTGGGAGTGCTGGAGTCTATGAAATGAATTACTGCCCAAATTGCTTATTTCTGAAACTGGAAATTCTTTGTTAGAAGCTGTTTTAGAACAAAGTGAGCCTGTAAGTCCTAGAGTAGATCAGATCTACTGTCCATGACGTCTCAGACGATCTTGCTTAGAGAACAGAGGAAATGAACTTACTTTGGGCCACTAATTTAAGGGTGAGAGTTGAAGCTAACACATTCAGATCTTGATATTCTTGACCGCCTGAACATTAATCTGGAAACTCCACACACTGTACAATGTATCATTTTAAGTTTGTTTACCTTCTCTTTAATGACTTAACAGAAAAAAACTGCATGATGAAATATATTTTCTCCAAATATATATATATTTATATAATATATAATCTTAGTTAACTCAAAGGTATATACATTGTATAATAAATAATATTTATAAAAAGAGACTTTTTGAATATAAAATCAAAAAGATCAACAACTTCTACAACTTTTTACAAAACTTTGGATACAGCAGGTTGGTAGGAAATTTCCGTTGGGTACTATTACCTGACTACGGCAAGAATAATTACAATGCACTCAATGTACTATTAAATAATTACTTGTCAGCTACTTGAATACGCCCCAGAAACATGACTTTATCACTTTTAATATAGAATACATAGATATGAGAAGGCTGGTTTGAAAATTTGTATCCATTCTGCTGAAATAACTCACATAAAGCAAGCATTATCCGGTTGACATGATTGAAAACTTTTCAGTCTAAGGTGAGATGAGGAGGGGCATTTCAGACTCTACAGAGGGGAGGGGATGTGTATCTTGAGCAGGGCCTGTTGCCAGCAAATTCAAGAGTGCAGGCCTGGCTCCAGGACAGCCGTCTGGGCAAGCCTGCCTGAGCAAGCGGGAAGGTCGCTTGACCCGAGACCTTGGGCCAGTGTTGGGTGGACCAAAGAGAAGGGAGAAAAGGGAGAGAAAACTGTGCTGCATGCTACCCCTGCTGCACCTCTTTCTGATTCTCCTTAAGAACAAGCTGTTGGATTGGTCCCTATGTCAAAGCCGGTTGCCTCTGTGTTGCCAGCTCCCTCTAGGATACTAGAGGGCCACTGTGGACCAAGGAGAACTCAGCTGTGAGGCGCTTTTCCCAAGGACCGGTGACTGCTTGCCGCCCTTTGAACACCTAACCCTGTCCTTGGTGACTGCAGGGCTTGATGCTTATCAGCATGCAGGTGATGCCAGCAGCTCTGCCTTCAAGGACTCTGCATGTCTGTGTACTCACTCAGGCCAAGAAAGCAGGGTGCAGGAAGACATGTCCTTACTGGAGAGGAAACGAAGGAGTCCTTTTTACTCTCCACACCTGCTAGTCTCAAAACTGGACCTTCAGGAAAAGATTGCTCCTCTCTCACTGGCCCTTTCTCTAACTTGCACTAACGTGACCTAAAGTCCACCTGCTCACCTGGCATTGATCCGATGGAGAACCTGCAGGTGAGCAGGGCTGGAGGGATTCCGTGGCCTCGCCCAAAGATACCCCTCCTTCCCTTAGGAAGCCATACAGGCTGGAGAAGGATTGTCCTCCCCACCTCCACCCCATACACAACCTATTTACAGTGTCCACTGCACCAAAAAGAACTGCATTAATGGTGGAAACTGCAGGATGGTAGAAAAAGATTCTGAGGCCTGACTGCAGTTCACAAGAGCCTCGTGCAGAACAAGGTTACAGAGAAAATGAGGCGGAGAACACACCGCTGCTCTTCAAACAGCTTACCAGTTTCTGCAAAACTGAAAACCCTCCCCTCACAGCTGCCTTGGGCCTCCCTACCACTTGATCCTCACTAAACCTATGGCTTTTATCGGCTCGTGACAGTGTATCAGATTTGCGCAGGAGTAGACAGAGGAAAGGAGACTGCAGCCCTACTCCGTAACTCCCACCTCACAGGCATCCTGGACCGGCCCGCAGGAAGCGGCCTGGGAACCACCTTGCCCCTGCTGACACCTCTATCACCAGGCAGAGAGCTCACATTAGCCCAGCCTGTTCTGTTGGAGTAGAAATTTTTTTCCATTTTTATTTTCTTTAACATGTGCAAAGATAAGCTTCGGGTCTGTTCCTATCAGACCCCAGAGAACTAAAAAGAAAGCCCCTTCTTTAAAAACCACACACCATCCGGAGTAGGGTGAGAAACTTGAGATGAGAGAGGGAGGGAGGCCTCCAGGTCAGCAGGCGGGTTGGGTCCAGGTAATTTACCACACGTGCATCTGGCAACAGTCCGGATTCCTTGCTGTCGGATGCGAGGGCTGAGCCCAGCTTAGGTCCTGCTCCCCACAGGACTTCAGTGAATCTGCCCAGCCACACACTTCACCGTTCCCAGCGCCCTTTGGAAAAAATAAAGAGGAAGAATTAGAAATATAATTGCTCTCCCGGGGAGACCACCCATAAGGGTGCAAAGGTCACTAGCTGAGGACAGGAGATCTCAGCATTTTTCTTATACTTGGAGGTAACGGGGTCCACCAGTAAGGAGGGGAGGGTGGTCCACAGGAACAGGAGGGCTTTAGCTTCCACAGACGGTTTCAAATCCTACCTCACCTTCTAGGTGGGGCTTGGGCGACAGGAAGCCCTATAGCAGGCAACTAACTACCCTAATGTAGGAATGTCTTGTATAGAGACTGGGAGAAGCCTGGCAGGTGTAGGGCTGTTTCCAACTTAGGGCAGACTCCTGGGCACTGTGTGTTCGTATCATACCAGATAGATTCATAACGAGCTGTCCAAACAGAAAGTATTTCATTTAAAAATTATGAGTAAGTCCTGCTCATGGGAGCACCAATGTGCACATTTTATTCATTTGTATATTTACAGCCCACAGAGGATTTGAGGCCCAAAAAGCCTTCACGGCATTCCCAGCCAACCCTCGCTCAAGGGCCAACAGGGCGAGTGTAGGGCGGTTTTACAGTGAGGGAAGCAGACTCAGCAAGATTCAAGGGGCATGTCCAAGGACTCACAGCAAGTTAGTGATGGATCCAGCACCAGGGATCAGCCAGACCCCCTGAGTCTTGTCCAGAGCCCTTCCTGCTTACCATGCTCACAAAATCTGAACAACAAGGAATAAATCCGATACTTGTGATGTAAGAAATCAGTGGTTAGCCTGAGACATTGGACAAAAGTTGCACATGATGGAAAAGTTTTCCCAAAAAGGAGGTCTGGCCTTCCTGTGGCATAAAGCCATTTTGATGAGGGCTCTCCCATCCCAGTGTGTGGAAGGCACGTGTCCTGCCCTGTGGCTCCCTCTGTCTCCTACCCGCACTGTTGCGACAGGGTACCTAAGAGAAAAGCTAGAGGCTCCGTCCCATGCAATCCTGCCAGCCTGTGTCAAAAGTCCTCATTTTGCCTGAACAGCGTCAGTGCGGATGCAGATGAAAGAATGGGAAGAGGTAATGGGGTCCCAGCCTGTGGCTGCAGACCCAGCAGCAGGCCTGGGGGAAGTTGCTCTTGGAGATCAGCTTGGCCCGGGAATCTCTGCTGCCTCAAGAGCACTTGGATCCAGTGGGGTGCCCTCCCTTGACACAGCCCCAGCCAGCAATGACCCAGGCAGGCAAGTCCTTTGCCACGAACCAGTCACTGTTCCCAGTGCTCTTTCCTGTGTTCCTCATGGCACCTCTAGGGAGGATGACAGATGAGACAGGTGTGTAAAGACTATCTTGTCTGGGTCCCATGATTGGCAGGTGGTGGAAGCTACACCATGGTTCCTGCCTCTCTATATTAGGCTCCTTCGGGCAGAGGAGGGAGTAAGGGCACACCGGCCTCGAAACATTCCACCTTCAAGGCTCTAGGACCACCCTGCATCAATCTTGACCTGTCCTGGGGGACCTCTGGATCTGAGGGCCAGGCATACTGTCTCCCACGCCGGCCACCTCTGGGAAGCTTGGCAACATAATCCACCAGCCTTTGATCCCTTGATTACTCACCACCGTCACTGTGAACTTGACTCCTCCCTCCTCCCCATCACCATCCATAAACTCGGTGAGAGTGCACCCCACTCCACCCAAGCTTCAGATCTGTCAGAATATGGGCTTATGCACAGCTTCCCCCCACCCACCTCCCCGAGGTTGGTAGGATTTACACTTGTGCAAAAACTTGCCCTCAAAGTTCAAGGTGGGTGCAAAATGACTCTGCCCCAGGGTTTGTAGAGGAGACTTTTCAGGCTACTGTTTCAAGTATTTTAAACTTATTTTACAGTAAGAAAACAGGCCCAGAGAAGTGAAGGAACAGGCATTTAGGGGCAAAGTTGGCACCAGAGGTCAGGCCTCCCAGCTTCCAACTCCACAGTGTCCCTCCTCTGTCTCCACAGATGCTCAAAGAGAGCCAGTGGCTGGACCAAAATTTGACCTGGCTCGTAATTAACCAACGTGTAAGAATTTTAATCAACTGCTTGCAGCCTCAAGTGCACACACTTGGGGAACTTGTGTCTTGGGTAGCTGAGAACTGGAACAGGGTGGTCAGGAACAGGAGATGGGCAAACCCAGGTCCCTGCAGCAAGCCCCC